TAATCGTTCTGTATTAACTACTTAAAACACGATAAAATAATGCGTGTTACTCATTTTTATATTAAATATTGTTGTTAAGTAAGATCGTTCTATGTTGGCTACTTAAAAGATTAAAAATAATACGAGTCTTACATTTATACGTAAATTATTATTGTAATACAGGATCGTGTTATTATAATTACTCAACCCTAAAATTGTGAGTCGATCATACAGGATCGTGTTATTATAATTACTCAACCCTAAAATCGTGAGTCGATCATACGGGATCGTGTTATTATAATTACTCAACCCTAAAATCGTGAGTCGATCATATAGGATCGTGTTATCATAATTACTCAACCCTAAAATCGTGAGTCGATCATACAGAATCGTGTTATTATAATCACTCAATCCTAAAATCGTGAGTCTATCATACAGGATCGTGGTATTATAATCACTCAACCCTAAAATCGATCAGAAAAAATTACAATTTTTATGACAACTTTAAATAAAAAAAGGAAATCTGCTCGATGCATTCCTCAGTCAAACTTTGAATAACTTTAATGTTTTATCTCTTGCTTGGAAAAACCACTAAAACTCCCGTAATTATTTTCGTCTTTCCAGTGTTAGACTACTTTTGTTCGGGTCCATTTCATTTGGACCTTTATTTATAGTGTAAGAATGATTTTCATCACGTGCCTGGCATTCAGGTCACACCGTGCTCTTTGCAAAAACAGCAATAAATGTTTTAATGAATTCTTATGACTTTCATTGGTTGATGCCTGATCAATCATATATAAACTTGTCATTCACTGAACGATCTAAGGCAATGAAGGCGGTTATAATGACAAGAAAAAAGTAACTTTTAATGACCTGTTTTCATTGGCTTCTCAGGGTTCTGGTTGACCTCCCTTTCTGATCACTTTAGCTTCAACATGAACTTCATCAAAACTGCAATCACAACATTAGTGTTCAGTACAAACATTACACCTTCCAACATCACACCTTTAAACATCATACGCCCCAATATCACACCTTCAAACATCATTCCTTTCAACATCACACCATTAAACATCACACCTTCAAACATCATACCTTCAAACATCACACCTTCAAACACCACACCTTCCAACATCACACCATTAAACATTACACCTTCAAACCCCACACCTTCAAACATCACACCTCAAAGATCACACCATTAAACGTCACACTTTCAAACATCACATCTTCCAACATCACACCTTCATACACCACACCTTCAAACATCACACCATTAAACATCACACCTTCAAACATCATACCTTCAAACACCGCACCTTCAAACACCACACCCTCAAGCACCACATCTTCCAACATCACACCTCAAAGATCACACCATTAAACGTCACACTTTCAAACATCACATCTTCCAACATCACACCTTCATACACCACACCTTCAAATATCACACCATTAAACATCACAACTTCAAACATCACACCTTCAAACATCACAACTTCAAACATCACACCTTCAAACATCATACCTTCAAACATCACACCTTCAAACACCACACCTTCAAGCACCACACCCTCAAGCACCACATCTTCCAACATCACAACTTCCAACGTTGCACTTGCAACTGAGTCATGACTTTCTGACATCCTTCTAGTATATAGTCCCTCGGTGGGACAGCGATAAGTCCATAGACTTACAGTACTAAAATCTGTGGTTAAGTTTCCCATAGTGGACACAGCAGATAGCCCAGTGTGGCTTTGTTCTAAAACAAACAAATCCAGCATATATTGCCTAAATTAGAGCTGAAAACAGGTCTCCTATAGGTAACTTCCTCTGCAAAAGGCAATGAAAATTTCAAGAAAATCTTGACACAATAGATGGAACAAAACTCATTTTCAAATGAAGGTTTCTCTGCAAGAGGTAACTCGATTACCACAAAATCTGTATAATTCGTAAGTTCTATTAATACATTATTGTTGAAAGATTATCTTAATGCTTTTTCTCGTTTGCCGGATATTGTATCCAACAAATAAAGCGTGTTCCGTATTTGTAAAGAAAAGAAAGATCGGCTATTTAAAAGATGTTTCAATGTAATTTCAATATTTTATTTACCAATCTGTTCTCCGTTTTTTTTAATATAAATTGTTAAGAACAATAAAAACAAAATTAATACCTTCCACCCTAACATAACAAAACAACTAGGACATTCTATGTTAGATAAGTAACGTCATATCGTAAGGTCTATCACCAGTCTTTTATTTTATAGATGTGTTTATTAATATTACCAATAAATGTAATGATTTTACAATAAACCACAACTTTCTTAACACTAATAATGTTACACCGTCCTTTGTCTTTCAAATATTATATCTCATCAATCGGCTAATTCTATAATATTATTAGATTCTACAATTACAGAAGAAGATCATTTTATTTCATTAAGATTTGTGTTTACTGATTATTATATGCTGTACCACTATCTATTTTCTGTAACAAACATGATGTTGACGTTGTTATTATTCTTTAACTTAACGTCGTTTAATTAAACAGTGCATGAACTATTACAATAGTAATACTCTTCAATACATATTATTTGATCATGATTCAAACATTGAAAACATCTTCCAATACCAGGGATGAACAGTAATATTAATTTACATGATCAGTACAACCTGAGGATACATTTGTTTCTGTTTTGTTTTGTATCTTTACGATAACATATTGAAGGTAACGTTACCATGTTTACCACTTTAGAGACGTTAGTAGATGATTTGTTATTCTCTGTTGTTCAAGTATTTTAAAAAATCACGAATTTAAGAGGGTTCGTGAGAAATATGTGTTAACTTTTTTTAATTTAAGACGAGTTCGAGTGAAATGTGTGTTAACTTTCTTTAATTTAAGACGAGTTCGAGTGAAATATGTGTTAACTTTCTTTAATTTAAGACGAGTTCGTGTGAAATATGTGTTAACTTTTTTTAATTTAAGACGAGTTCGAGTGAAATGTGTGTTAACTTTCTTTAATTTAAGACGAGTTCGAGTGAAATGTGTGTTAACTTTCTTTAATTTAAGACGCGTTCGAGTGAAATGTGTGTTAACTTTCTTTAATTTAAGACGAGTTCGAGTGAAATATGTGTTAACTTTCTTTAATTTAAGACGAGTTCGAGTGAAATATATGTTAACTTTATTTAATTTAAGACGAGTTCGTGTGAAATATGTGTTAACTTTCTTTCTTTTTTTGCGAATTTTTATGCTGTATTTATAAGTGGATTCAAATAGTTAAACTTATCTGAACTAAATTACCAACGACACTCTCTATTAGTGTTTTACCAGTAAAATAGAACATATATATAATTTCTTGGACATTTGTTTTGTTCTCTGCGCCGCTTTCTCTCGAAAGATTTAATATGTAATTTAACATTATAACAACAGCAGAAACATTACATAACATCGAAAAACATATGTCAGTCTACTTCTTCACTTTCTGTCCAGGATCTGCTGATTGCAACGTCCAATTTCATGTTCCAAGCTACCGGACAGCGACTGTACATCCAAGAAGTGCTCATCGTTGTACCACCAATCAAAAGCTGGGAATCGGCTGGGTATGACAGGATCATGGGCAATTGGTTTAACTCTGCTAACATACGTGTGGATGGACAGAACCCAGTGTATGGAGATACACCCTACACCTTGTATAGTGGTGGCTGTGGAAAACAGGGGAGGTATATTCATATCACCCCAGACTTCATCCTCAACAAGGGGAGCTTTAATGGAAAACCAGGTAATTCGTACATGTAACTTTTTGGTTATTGTTTTAGTCTTGTTATAGGCCTAGTGGTTAGCTTATCGAACTGAAGCTCCAAGGGTCTCGGGTTCGAGACTATGGTACTACCAAACACGCTTCACACTTTAAGGTTGTGAATAGATTATAAGAGTGACAATCAATAACGCTATTCAAGAAAGAGTGCTCGATTCAGGCGACGGACGATGCTAATTAGATATTTTCTTTCTGGTGAGTGGCTATAAATGCTTGAACTGCAAGATTGAAATGCTTGATCTGGCTAGTTGACTCAATGTATGTATAAGATAAAATGTTGCTTGAGTGAGAAACCAAACAAAGTAATGTTATATTGGATGTTTCAAATGTACGTTAAATCATTAAGTATTCTTCAATACAAAATGTTAAATATATTTGGTAAAATTCGGGAAAGTCCGAGAAATTTAAAGTGTAGTGCCACAAACTCTGATGGCCAGGTCTCATCTAAAGTTAACGATATTTGTGTTCTTAGATTTGTTCCTCTAAGATTACGTAAATGCAATCTAATAAATTTCAATGATATGCTAATATAAAATTAGCTTCATATTGTAATTTAAGTTCCTTTCTTGTTCACCTTTGGTTCTCAGATTTTGAACAGCAAGTGGATCCATCATTCACGTCTTGTTTCTGTTATAAAGATTAAAAAAAAAAACGGGTTGCGCAGTTTATGACAGTGGATGCGTTATAAGCGTGCCAGTCAAATCCCACTATTCAGTCAGAAAAGAGTATTCAAAAGTATGGAGGTGGGTCTATTGACTATACCCCTTCCCTCATGTCTATCACTTCAAATTGGGGACGACTAGAGCAGACAATCTTGAGTAGTTATTTTATAAGCACGGTGTTAGATACACAAAAATGTTTTAATTTAAGTTCAGTGCAAGTGTTATGATTTAGCTACTTTACCTTTAACGAGAATGTTAAATATAGTTATTTTTAGAAGCGATAATTTATCGCAAATATGATAATGTACTTGTTTACGAATTATACGTTGTGTTGTTCAGTTGTTGTGAATTGGCGATTGTTGTATTATTGTTCTGAGTTTTTTCGTTGTTTTAATTGAGTGTTATTGCATCATAATAACTAGTAGTGTGTGGAACGTTCTAGGTCTCAGTCGGATTATAAATATGCTTCCAAAATGTATATAAAGATAGCTATAGCTAGATAGATCTAAATTACTTTATTGTGCATTTAGCCATAAAGAGTTATAGGGGCGATTTCTAAATTGAAATTATCACAGATTTTAGTGCAATAACAGAGTACAGAAGAATAATTTGTCTTGACTATGATGTTCTAAAGTAATTGAACCAGTTTTTATGGACTTTGACGAAAAAGATACAAATACTTAAAGCTCTGGATATAACTATGGTTACCAACAGTGTAATGAAAAAATTATATATATATATATAGATAGATAGATAGACATATTTGACTTGTTTCAATATATATTATTGTAAAACAAGTGGACTGTGTGCTGTTTGTTTATTGCTGAAATTTATCGCCAACAAGTCAGAGGCATCTACTGTAAAGAATTTAGCCCATACATACATATATAAAACTTGACAGTGGTGAGCCAGCCAAAATTTATACAAATAAATGACAGTAGAAATAGGAGTAAACAACCAGCAAATAGACTTATATACACACAGCTATTGTGATGGCGAATATATTGTAGAGGTCACAACCATATAATATAATCATGTCAACTTACTTTATAAAAGGATAGAGAGGGGTGAACGAGTTAGGCTCAAAAAAAGGCGATCTACGAGAATTCGGTAAATAACAACAACACCTAGTGAGAGAAGAGTATCAACACAAAAGATACGAAAAAAGAATAAGAGCACAAATTGAAAAATAAGAAAAGGAGAGGAGAGACTGGAAATAGAGAGAGAGTAAGAGCACAAATTTAGATCACCAAGTTCATCCCACAGAAAAATAGAGTACGCAAGAATAGCAATGAGGTCAGGAAAAGCAGACCCAAGCTGCTGAAATTTGATGAACAGAAAGACAACATAGTTGCTTTCCTGGAAAGGTGTGAAAGATTTCTCCAAAGTCAGAACTAAGACAATGGTGACTGGGCAGACCTTCTCAACCCATGGAAGATACCATGGATTATGATAAGTTAAAAGTGGTCTTGCTGAAATGCTATGAAGGTTTTTGTTGGAAGTTCAGAGAAGTTAAGTCTTACACTGGAGAAACTATATTTAAATGTTTGGTATGTCTACAGCAATACTTTAACAGATAAACTGGCGTGGTCGAGTGTGAAGAGGTTTTTTCAAAAGGCTGGTAGATTTACTAATACGTGAACAGTTCATGATCACGTGCTCCACTGACATGTCACCGTTCCTAAAAGAGAGAACACCAAAAACCGTGGACAAGATGATCAAGCTGGCAGAACAGTATATAGAACCCAATGGTGGGAGTATAACTGCCACGTACAAAAATAACTAGCCAAAGTTGAAACCAGGGTTGGCTGACCAGAAGCAGGATGCCATGAAATGTGAGAAGATGGCAACAGGCAAAAGTGAGAAGAGATGCTATCCTTGTTATAAAATGGGGCACATTGCAAGAGGGTACAAGGCTGTCACCAACAAACAACGAAAGAAATTTCAACATAAAGCAGCTAGAGTTACCAACAGAGATGGTACTAGTACAAGAAACAAGAAAAGAGTAACTATCACCATTACTAGTAGATTCTGGAGGGAATGGGTGGGGTGGCCAACCTTTTTTCATGATTTTGCACCCTTATGCTCTAAAGTGCTCCTCTGTTAACAATAAAAAAATTGCAATAAATGATTTTATTTCCTGCCTTTTCCTGCTATAGGCCAATAATTTATAGTATTATATTTAAGTTTGACTTATCATCTGGCTGCACCGATATAAATGATGTATGCTGAAATTATGTGGCACCCATCCAGGCGACCACACCCTTTTCCAAAATTCAAGATCCCCTACTGATCATCATGGATGCTGCTGCCAGAAGAAACAGAATAAAGACAACTCGGCAGATTCACCACAAGTGCTTGATTGATGGTCAGCTCAAGTTAGAAAACAGGTCACCAGTGCCAGTTGTGATTGGGTCATATGTCAAACATCGAGAAGTGCCAACAAACTACAACATATCACAAAATGAAGTTTATGTTTGGGCAAGAACGCGAAAATCCTACAAGACACTGGGTACAGCAGTGAGGCAGTGAGAACCAGTCAAATATCTGATGACCAGGTAGAAGTTTGGAGGAACCAGTTGAAAGTAGACTGATGAGGCATTTGCAATCACCATAAAAGGTCAAGAAAAAAGTGAAGCAAAACATCAAGCCTCTGCAAGTCTCGAAAAGTAACATCCCGAATTTAGGTCAAAAGAAACTGAAAGAAACACAGAAGAAAGACCCTTCAGTGCGGAAACTTTGAGACAGTACACAGTACAAAGTTGATCAAAATAAAAATGGGGAAGAGACTTACAGATTAAAGAACCAGGAAAGAGTGCTGTACTTGATCTATCAAGGCAATTCGACTAGGAAATTTAAGTAGATTGTAGTACCAACAGAATACCAGACTCAAGCATTGAAATTGGCTCACGAGTCGATTGTAGGAAGACGCCTAGGGGTAACAAAAATGGCAGACAGAATCACCAACAAATTCCATTGGCTCTGGGTCTTCACAAATTATACCAGATTCTGCAGGTCACGTGACATTTGCCAAAGAACAACACCTAGAGAGAAGGTAGTCAAGGTGCCACTGGGTGAGGGGCTTTTCATAGAAGAGCCATTCAGCAGAGTAGCTGTGAACTTGATTGGACCACTAGCGCCTGTTTCTGACAAGGTCAATCAGTATGTGCTGACAGTAGTTGACTGTGCAACATGTTATTCAGAAGCCATAGTACTGCCGAAGATAGAGCGAGAGTAGCAGAAGCCTTCCCGGAAATGTTATACAGAGTAGACTTTCTGAAAGAAGTCCTGAGTGACAGAGGGACCTTGTTTACTTCAGAACTGATGCAGGAGGTGTACACACTCAGCAACACTGGGCAGCTCTTTACCACCTCGTACAACCCTAGATGTAATGGACCTTACGAGAGAGTCAATGGAGTCTCAAAGAGCAGGCTGAGGAAGATGTGCAAAGAGAGACCACGTGACTAGCACATGTACTTGCAGGCAGTAATATTTGTTTATCGAGAATACCCAAAAGCAAGTACAGGATTTTCACTCTTCGAGTTACTGTACAAAGTCCAATGAAGATATTCAAAAAGCTATGGAAAGGAGAAGAAGAGTTAGAAGTGATGTGCCCATACCAGCATACTAGACCCCAGAAACCGACGGAAGTAAATCTGTCAACTCGCTCGAGAGAGCTTGTATGCAGCTCAAGGCAGTCAGAAGCACTTCTATGGCAAGAAGACCAAGGTTCGACGTTTCAAGGTCGGACAGAAGGTCTTAGTTCTGCTGCCCACAGACAACAACAAACTCACCCTGCAGTGGAAAGGACCTTTTGAAAAACAGGAAGTTATCAACAGTATGGACTATTAGGTGAAAGTGAATTGAAAGATATATTGTCGCTGTGAACACTCTGTAGAAATTAATGTTTTTGTTTCTCATTAGAAAAAAAGATGGTCCAGCAGTGGGCAAAATACAGATTTGGTGTATTTGAAGAAGGTAGTGAGCCGTGGGATGAAAGATTTCCAAAGCTGTATAAAGACCCTGTATTCTTAAAGATGAAGGAGTATGTGAGTATATAATATTAGATTTCCTCACGCATATAACATTTGGATCTCCGTCCAGTTTAATACACTGTCATACCTACTAGTGTTTTTAAATGACTTTTGTTTTGTCCTTGACTTACGCTTTATCAAATAGAAAACAAATTATGATTACGTTACTTAAAATATTTTACTACGATAATGAAAACATATCTTATACTATTACATTTCCATTAAACCTGCGTAGTTAGACATTTCACCTTGTATCTCAGTTTTTCCGGGAAAAAATATTGTACGGGACTTTATTTTCAGAAAATAATCTTTATAAAAGTAGATAAAATTACAATGAAAACCTTGAAGCAAGTAAAGACAATAGAGTAGCTAATGTTAGCAACAGCCTTCAGCTTATTTGATTGTAAGTTTAGCAACGATTCTGAAAGTGGAAGATTAAACAATTTTATAAGATTTTTAGGCAAGCTGCACAATATTTAGTCTTAATTCTTCTTACATATGCTATGTGTGTGTTTTCTTTGTATATTTTAAGTTTTTCTTAGGCTTAACTTTGTTTAATTTCAAACAAATTGATAACGTCAAGTAGTAAAACATAAAAACAAAGGAGAAAACAGTAAAGTACTAATGGTTTATGCCTAAGCAACAATAAACGCTTAAATATTTTTAGAATGTATTTATTGTCTTTCTTTTGTGAGGTAAAAATATTCATTAAACTTTAAATCAACATTTTACATGTTTCATGCAACAATTATGGTCCTAGTCTTTTATAAAGATAAGTTAGATCTAGGCCGCTAAGATGCGAGACAATTGCTGTCCCTCAACTACTCATCAACAAATATATTCTATTGCCTAATTCCGAGCAGGAAATTAAACTTCCTTCTCAAGCAAGGCCAAGGAAAACCCATTTAAAAGATTCACTTAATAGCATTTTACTCTGGTGCTCATCTCTAGAAAGTTAGTTGATGGTTAGCCACTTTAGGTCAAACCAGATTAGACATGAAGGAGGAAAGGTGTGAGCCAATGGTGTCTTTCTGATGTTATGTACGGCTCTATAATCTCTTCAATTAGCTAACTTTCTCATTCTAGAACCAAACGTTTGATTCATCCAAGATAGTCAAGTGACCTGCTAACAGTTACTAAATCCAAATGATAAGAAGTTTACATGTGTCAAGGCCGAGCTTCAACTACCTTTTACTAAAACAATAACCCACATTATAACCTCCATGGCTTAAACTATCTTTGTGGTTCATTGTTGACTTTATCTAGATTGTGAGTTGCATGCCTACAAAGTAACATCATCTGAACAGTTTCAAGTCAAGTAGAGCCTATGGAGGCTAGCCCAGATTATGAGTATGGGAAACAACACAATTTTTGTAGGTAGGTTGATTCCTGTAACGATTACGGGACTGATGTCATCCCTGAGTCTGATAATAAGTTTGGATGGATTACCATTGGATATCATTTTGGATGCCATCTCATGCCAACTCAAGCACTTTTATTTTCCCTGAAAGTTGAAAATGGTCTAACTTATGTAGAATAATTTAAGGATTGATACATAAAAAATCCATAAAATCCAACTAAGTTCAAGAGTATTTTATTAAAATTTCCCGTTTCTAACTACAAAAATATGGTGGATACAGAATGAGAGAACAGTCAGATAGAAATGGTATAAACATATTCAATAACAACTTGTTCAATAGCATAATGTGGAATCAATATTCTTAACAATTACGTTGCATAAACAACATCTCTTGCTATTGAATACACAGTAATAATAGGTATTCAGTGCTTAGTAAGACACCCTGTAACTTCAGTTCAGCCCTCGGGTTAGTCATGCCAGAGACTCATGAAACCTCAAAGTAACACTCGCATGAGGTAATAAGGGAGATAAAGTAATAAGGCCACAGAGCATCTGAGAAGTCGAATCAGAGCTTCAGTAAGAAGGATACGAGAAACTAATTGGAGCTCATTTCTCATTCTAATTAACTAGCCTTAGAACAATCCTATCCAACTTTAATGTTGGAAAAAGAAGCAAGTACGCAGCAGTTTTAAAAATGGAAATATACCACAGAAATAACGAATCAGGAATGTAGGACTATTATCACAGACTGTATTGTAATAACAGAGCAGGAAGAATAATTCGTTTTGTCAAATTGTGTTCTAATTGAACCAGCCTGTGTAGACTTTGACGAAAAAGAGACAGTTATTTAAAACTCTGGATACAACTTTAATGACCCTAATTATCTACTTAATGACAAAGGTCAAAATAACAAAGATAACCATTCGGTAGCATCTCTCGTATATCCGAAACAAACAAACAAATGATTCTTACTCTCCCTGTATTCTGAAGCAAACAAACAAATAGTTCTTACTGTCCCTGTATTCTGAAACAAACAAACAAATAATTCTTACTCTCTCTGTATTCTGAAACAAACAAACAAATGGTTCTTACTGTCCCTGTATTCTGAAACAAACAAACAAATGGTTCTTACTCTCCCTGTATTCTGAAACAAACAAATGATTCTTACTCTCCCTGTATTCTGAAACAAACAAACAAATGGTTCTTACTCTCCCTGTATTCTGAAACAAACAAACAAATGATTCTTACTCTCCCTGTATTTGTTTGTTTGCTTTAGAATGGGTTCTTACTGTCCCTGTATTCTGAAACAAACAAACAAATGATTCTTGCTCTCTCTGTATTTTGAAACAAACAAACAAATGGTTCTTACTGTCCCTGTATTCTGAAACAAACAAACAAATAATTCTTACTCTCTCTGTATTCTGAAACAAACAAACAAATGGATCTTACTGTCCCTGTATTCTGAAACAAACAAACAAATGGTTCTTACTCTCCCTGTATTCTGAAACAAACAAATGATTCTTACTCTCCCTGTATTCTGAAACAAACAAACAAATGATTCTTACTCTCCCTGTATTCTGAAACAAACAAACAAATGGTTCTTACTCTCCCTGTATTCTGAAACAAACAAACAAATGATTCTTGCTGTCCCTGCATTCTGAAACAAACAAACAAATGATTCTTACTCTCCCTGCATTCTGAAACAAACAAACAATTTGTTCTTGCTGTCCCTGCATTCTGAAACAAACAAACAAATGATTCTTACTCTCCCTGCATTCTGAAACAAACAAACAATTTGTTCTTGCTGTCCCTGTATTCTGATACAAACAAACAAATGATTCTTACTCTCCCTGTATTCTGAAACAAACAAACAAACGGTTCTTGCTGTCCCTGCATTCTGAAACAAACAAACAAATTGTTCTTGCTGCCCCTGTATTCTGAAACAAACAAACAAATGGTTCTTGCTGTCCCTGTATTCTGAAACAAACAAACAAATGGTTCTTGTTGTCTCTGTATTATGAAACAAACAAACAAATAATTTTTACTGTTCCTGTATTTTAAAACAAACAAATAATTTTACTGTCACTGTATTCTGAAACAAACAAACAAACAAATACTTTTTATCATTGTTTTTCTTCCTTCTTTCATCTTTGTCATCTTTTAAAATCTATCTTCCAGCATAACGGAGTAAAGTGGTAATCCCGATAATAAAACTAAAACCTAATGGTGAACAGCATCGTCAGTAAGCACAGAAAACACTACAAAATACACGATTTCGTACATGAACATCACATCAAAACAGAACAACATCAGCCATTGGTTACACTACAATTTCGCGTTTACACCTCAGTGTAATAACAAATAGGGAAAATATAACTTAAACTGTTATTACCCTCACGGCAAAATATTTCACTTTACAGCAGATAATAAAACTTCTAGACTGAGCATAGCGAGCTATCAGCACGTGGTGACTTTAGATCTTAGAAATACAAAATGTTTTTAATACATACATAATAAAAACATTCATTGTGATTTGTTTGAAACAGTAAAGTTTAACGAGTATTAAGTTTATACTTACGAATTAACAATCTTAAATTTGTATTTACTTCTCTACTATAAATGGTTGTCATTCCTTAGGCAAGACAGTTGATATCATATCATAGTTAATACACGAAGAAATAAGATCCCTATTCTATTATTCGTACTCGTTTCCGTTTGTGATTTTTTTTTTATTATTTAGACAAAAAGACATTTAAGCACGAGTTTAATTGCCAAATTTTACGCTATTTTACAGGCGTTTGTTCCCACCAGTTGTACAACTGACATCGAAGGATGGACGATCCAACCTTCAACCTGTACATTAGATAAAAACAACAAATTTACACCCAGTTGTGCATTTGAAATGGACGAGACTCATCCCATGAATTCATCACTTATGTGCTCAGACTTTCTGGACCAGGTAAATACACATTGGATATAAACTGTAATGTCCTCTGAACCATAAATATATATATTCATTTTAATACTGTAAATGTTTGAAAACATAGGTCAGTGGGTGCGCGAGGACTCATACTGACCTCTTAAACTTGGTAAAAATTTTAAACAAATTAATTTTTACTTCATATTAGCTAAGTAATTGTTACGCTTCAGTGATTCCACAAATATAGTTTCGCAAGTTTTAGAATATTTGGTTTCTAATCATTTATAAGAAATAAATTAATTATGAATTTAATACAGACTACCAATGAGAGCAGAAAAGGGTGAATTTTCAGTTCAGTATATCCATTCAAACTTTATATTAATATCTTCAGCTTATATATACAGTCTAAGACAAAATGTTTGCATACTGTTCTATATTGATGTTATTGTCTACATGCATGGAGTAAGTATTGAGTAAATGTCAGAGTAGTAATGGAGAAGGAAGCGTAAGATCGAACAAACGTGTTCGTTTGTTTATTTGTTATGTAATTAAGCACAAAGCTACACAATGGACTATCTGTGCTCTGCCCACCAGGAGTATCGAAATCGGAAAATGGCTAACCACCACCCAAAAACAGTTACTGTAGCTGGGTTTCAGCGCCTTCTAGCTATAAGTAGGAATGAAATCACGGTGGGTTACATCAATAACCTCATCGACTGCATGCCACGTCGCCTTACAGGGGTTATTAGAGTACAAAGAGGACCAGCTATGTACTGAATGTTTGATATGAATTGATATAAGGTTACAGACACTATTTATAATAATTTGATGTTATATTTTGTCATTATATATATTTGTTTTGGTTTTTCTAATAAGTCGTTCAAGATGTCCATAGAACCTGTCTTATTATACAAATTACGAATGTAGATGTTTAATATTTCTCAGTTTGACAGCGCTAAGTGTATTTTTATTCCCTCTTAATAATAATGATCTTATTTGTTATAAAATATGCAAAGATTTTGGCCCAGACTGTATATTTATGGATTAGATGGGAATTATAATTATATACGTCACAACCGTTCTTGGTTTTGTAGAAAAGTAAATATATACCTAGATACGTATTTTAGGATGAAAAAAAAAAGCTTCCAGAACTCAAATAAGTCGGCCTAAAGTTGGTCGTTTTAGACAATGTGAGTTTGGACATCAGCTGGTGGACAAAGTGAGTTTTTGTTGTTGTTGTTTTTAACACCCTATTCGTAGTCTTATAATTACGAACGTTTACTAAGTTGTATATACACACACGCATATATATATATATAGGGTGGCCCCCAAAAAAATGTACCCACATTTCCAATGCTCAGATGACTATAGTAAATGAACCTACAAGTCAGCAAAACATCTTTAATATCATTTCATACAACAAATTAACTGTGCATACACTGCTCCACCAGCATTCAAGCAATTGTGACAACTACGACGGAATGCCTGACATACTGTTCCACAATTGTCAGCTCTGATTCGATGGAAGACATTTGTGATCTGTTGCTTTAACTCGTAACTGGTTTTACGCTTATTTTTTGACATCCTCTAATATTATTTGAAATAAAAATAAAACTTTTAGAATCGATATACAGAAGGTGTATATCTTAAAGAATGGGTAATTTTTTTTGGCTGCCCTGTAAATATATTTGCACATACACTTAATGAAAGTAAAAAAACTTTACACGGAAAAAACTATATTTTAATTCTTTGTTTGTAATTAAGCACAAAGGTACACAATGGGTTATCTGTGCTTTGCCCACCACGGGTAGTGAAACCCGGATTCTAGCGTTGTAAGTCTGTAGACATACGGCTGTGCCACTGGGGGAGGGCTCTATATTTTAAATCATCAATTTCTCTTATTGAGTATAAATATATAAAATTATCCAGTTGTAAATGTACAACTAAAAAAGCTATTTCTTTTAGCTTTACTTTTGTATTTATATTTTTCAAGTTTGTTTGTTTTTTATGCACGGATTAAAATTCCAACATGTTTGTATTTTAAGCACTAATTAAGCTTCCAACATGTCTGCATTTTAGGCATAATTAAGCTTACAACATGTTAGTACTTTCAACGCACCCTGGCGACTGAAGCTAGATTCATGTGTACAATATTTTTGTTTTTTTTCCTAACTATGCATACAAATATATGTATAGTTGGCCAAACTAGTTACCTATTGTAGACTCGCAAGTTTTAATGAGCTTATTTTGGCGCCACCTGGTTATCAAAGTCATTATTTCTCAGTAGGTTATTTTATTGTTGATATAAATGTATGCCATACTAATTTTCAATTTAGCTTTTTCCTGATCCTCTATGTGACTTTTAAAGATCACAATTACATTAATACAGGAATTCCAGTTTATGTCTTTCGATGGAGCAAAGTGTTTCCAATTTTATACACACTATTCCATAATAGCGGATGTTCTTTTTTGAAATTATTCAAATGCTTGTAGTGTCTTATCCCGCTGGAAACTGTAACGAACCATTTATGAACGAAGTACAAAATATTATTTACCATTTCTAACCTAAGCAGCTGCACATTGTTATCTAAGAAACCAGATACCAAAGTATCAAGATATTATTATCTGATCTCCTGTCGTGATATTTAAATAATGGTGTTAAAGTTAAGACTAAGTTGTGTGCTGTGTTCTAGAACAGAAAAAAGGCAACAACCAGGAGTACTAAGAGTTTCAGAAAAGAACTGACGAATATGTCATCCCGGTTTCGAATGTGGATTTATTATCTTGATTTAAAGCTCCACCTTTCAGCCACCAGAAATACTATCAGTTTTTACTCTAGTAAAAATAATTACATCGTCAACGTATAAATAAGCGTTCTTCTTTTAAACTGAAATATTTCAATTAATATTTTTTACCACACGTATCATAAGCTCTAGAAAAAAAAAACTCTAACTCGATGGTAAAATAAAAATATAATAATGTGTTATTAATTCTTACCCTAAAACTCTGATTTATAAATGACCTAAATAAAAAGTTGATAATGATCACAATTCATTTGCTTAATCTGATTCACACTATAACAGTGGTTGTTCATGATTTTTTAATATATATATCCTTGACCACTACTGTGTCTGTTGTATCACAGCTGGCCTGATGACCCCTGGTACTAGGCCAAAGGCCTCGTTAACACTGCATATAATAGATGTGTTGTAATTACCATATATCACAGCTGGCCTGATAAGCCCTGGTACTGGGCCAAAGGCCTCGTTAACACTGCATATAGAAGATGTGTTGTAATTGCCATATTATAAGATATTCTACTTTGCATTCGCTCTTAGAAATACCCTTAGGAAGTAAATGAAATATGATTTAACGCTGACTTCAAGAACCGGGATTTATAATGTTATAAGATAACAAGTCACACAAACATTAAAAATAAAAAGGCCTAAACTATGTGTTTGTATGTATATGTTTTATATGATTAGATGGATATGTGAATTATGATTTGTTTATACACGTATGACATACCTCAAGCTACAGGTACCACTTGTTCAGAGACGTTTAAACTATAGCATATGATTCATATTATAACAAGCTAATACATCCTATTGTTTAGTATATAAGTACAAATACAAATATAAGCTACAGATACTAGTACATACCACTTGCTCAGAGAAGCTCAAAACTATAGCATATGATTCATTTTATTACAAGCTAATACATCTTGCTGTTTAGTATATAAGTACAAATACAAGCTACAGATACCAGTACATACCACTTGCTCAGAGAAGCTCAAAACTATAGCATATGATTCATTTTATTACAAGCTAATACATCTTGCTGTTTAGTATATATATGTACAAATACGACGTTGCTTTGTTATATAAGTCTTTGAGCTTGTCATCCTAAGCCTAAAGTAAAAATTACATAAATGTAAAATTAATATTACTAAGTCGCAAACATTTCTCAAATTTAAAACATTATATTTGACAAATATCAATTGTACAAATGGAAAATTGTGTTAATGTTTGTTTGTTTTTCCTTGAAATTTCCTTGTTTAGGCTGATACTTTCTGTGGCCTAAATAACAGGAGGCATAACTACCGGGCACCGAACAGACATAACCTTCTGTGTAATAGAAAGAGCACGTGGGACGTTATGAAGGAACACAATGATCTTAAAAACATCAGGCAAGATGCTATTTTAAATGACTAAATCTTTTTACACGTAAGTGTGATATATTACTGAATACGGGGGTGTTGGTATGTATTTTAAATTGAAAAGCTGACATTACAATTTCTCACGTCAGGAGAACACTGTACTTTTAAGATATTTTAATATATATATATGTGTGAAAGTAAAATGTTGATATGGGTGTTATTAATCAGAAGTAAAATGTTGATATGGGTGTTGTTATTAATCAGAAGTAAAATGTTGATATGGGTGTTGTTATTAATCAGAAGTAAAATGTTGATATGGTTGTTGTTATTAATCAGAAGTAAAATGTTGATATGGTTGTTGTTATTAATCAGAAGTAAAATGTTGATATGGGTGTTATATTGTCTGATACACTGGCGATATAGGTATGTTGTAAAATATAGTTATATTATTTGATAGACGAGCGATGTTTAGTTAAGATTTTCAGCAGATATTATATAATTTTTCTTCAAACTTAAAACTTTGGATACTTAGTTATTGATACTGCGAAGTTCAGATGTTTTAACAAACGGATTATTTTGACTGATTTTATTTGTAGTTTAACTTCTGATAACTGAAGCTTCATACCGTATCTTACTGTATAATATATAACTTGATCTGAAAACAGAGCACAAAAAGTATATTACTCATATATCATCCAATTGTTTATAGGCCTATTCCAGTTCAACCAGGAGAGCCAACGTTTCGCATTGTTCAAGCAGGTGCTACAATGAGAGTAGTTCTTGTATTAGATGTATCATCCAGCATGAATGTAAGTTTAACTAACACTTTATTCGCCTGTTCTTTTTATATTTTCTACAGCAGACATTGCTATTAAAAGGAGAGACAAATGAGGAAGGATTAGTGAATAATTACGAGTGATCAGAAGAACGAAAATAAACTTATCATTCAATTTTTTTCTCATTCGGATAAAACATATATTAGGTCTTACTGTGAAGAAATTAAATCCACTGTGGCTGTGGGCTTAAATAAAAGTCGAGATCACCTTTTGAGTGGATTATTTGTTTATATATAATTATTATTACAACGTTTCGACCACTCGAATAAATCTAACCCAGAACTAATAACAGAAATCACAGGTTGTTGGTACTAAATAAGATATACAATACAATATCATCACAGAGGTGTTCAAATATCACCGCCTCCTATGGTTGAGCGATAAGTCTGAGGGCTTATAACTGTCAGCGTTTACGTATATTATATAGGCTTGAATTCTTTTACAGTAGGTGTCTGTGACTTGTTGGCGATAGATTCAAACAATAAACGGCCGGCACACAATCTACTTGTTTTAAAATAATATATTAAAAAAATCAAACGTTTGTACAAAAGTTCTTTACTCTATGGAATATCACAGTTGTATCTAAAGTTCTGAATAATTCTCTTTTCTTGTCAAAAGTCCACACAGGCTGGTTCAATTATTTTAGAACCTAATTGACAAGACGAATTGTTGTTGTTTTTGCCAGAGAAACAAAAGAGGTTGTTGTTATGTTTTATATCGTAAAGCTACACAATGAGCTATCTGCACGGTGCCCATTGCGGGAATCTAACCTTGGATTTTAGCGTTGTATGACCGTAATCCTACTGCTGACCCACTAGGGGACAAAATTAAAGAGGTCATTCATATTTTGAGAGAAAGATTTAAAGATAATGTATTAGGCAGTCCACAGCAGAGGGTGTTACAAACCATTTTCACCTTGGGATGAAAGCTAAAGAAACCTGTAAGATCAAAGTTTGAAGGAGGTTATTTATTCGATATTACCCTTGTCTGGTGCGAAGTTACTGAAACTTTAACACATGTAGCTTTAAAGAGTTTATTTTATTGCGTATTGTTAATAAACTACCGTTAATTTTACTCGTGTTTCCTAATTTTAATAAACGTTTATTTTTTCTGTTGTAATCTGATACACATAAATGACATTGGAAATGCCATTTCAGTACTTTTTATTCACATGTATTATGATAATTTTAATATTTTATTCTATATTTCATTGCTTAGAGCGCATGGTACAAGCATTTAATATTAAAACTCCTGGTTTAAAACATTGAAACTACTGTTTTTCATACAAAATTTAAAAATGTAGTGTTCCAATAATAAAAAGTAAACCTGACTAATTTTATAATTGATTGTTGTTCTACTAATTATAATATTCAGGTCTAAAACATTTAGTCTGGAAATATTTCTCTGTATTGTTAGAAACTTTAGTTCTGACGACGTACCTATAAAATTTAAAACACTTAAGATAATAAAGAATTTAAAAAAATAATGTGTTTAATAAATTTCAATGAATGACAACAATTTCACAATACCTAGCCCCCCCCCCCCAGTGGCACAGCGGTATGTCTGCGGACTTACCACGCTAGAAAACGGGTTTCGATACCCGTGGTGGGCAGAGCATAGATAGCCCATTGTGTAGCTTTGTGCTTAAATTCCAAAAAAAAAAAACACAGTACCTAAATTCGGGATTCAATACTTCACCACAACAAACAAAAAGTAGACAGTTTTCTGGTAAAAACCAAACAAAAGATATATCAAAAGGAGTTATTTTCATCACCAAGAAAATATAATAGAAAAAAAATAAAATATACGAACAGAGTACGAATTGGTGTACGTTGAGAAATGAATTACCTAGAAATATTTTTGGCTACCATTAGCCATTTTTTACCTTTTTAACTTTAGTGTCACTTAACTTGAAAATAATGTTGCGTAAAAATGTTGCCAAGTTAATTGATTTCTAGTATAGTACCAGACCCCCTAGTGGCAAAGCGGTAAGTCTGCGGACTTATAACGCTAGAAACTGGATTTCGATACTCGTGGTGGGAAGAGCACAAATAGCCCATTGTGTAACTTTGTGCTTAACTACAAACAAACAAAGTCTAGATCCATTTACCTGGGATAAATAAAAGTTTTTTTTATAAGAACTTTTCACTGTTTTCTTATGTCTTCTTTCGTAAGGGTTTATCAAGAATGAAATTGATGAGAAGCAGTGCTAAGAGATTCATTAGAGACATCATTCAAGATGGCACAGAGCTTGGGATCGTACAATTTAGTAGATCTGCTACAACACTGTTACCTTTAACAAAGATTGATTCTTCGACCCGGAATAAGACAATTGACAGCTTGCCTAAAACAGCCACTGGATCTACATCAATTGGAAGTGGTATTCTTAAAGCCCTTGAGGTACCGTGATGAATACTTGCTGTAAAACATTACATCCAATAAAAAATATATATGTAGATTTTAAAATTTGTAAAAATATCTAAACAATGTATAAAATCCTCTTGTGTGTAGAATAATTTTTACCCTTCTATTTTTGATAATAATTTAATGATCGGAAGATTTGGTTAACTATAACATAAAAATAATTGTTAATAATTTCGAAACCATAATGTTGTGGCATTAATGTAATAATGAATTTATGGAATTCGTACAATGTTAAACAAAACTATATATATATATATATATATATATATATATATAAGTAGAGACAACTAATAATATTAGTTATAATTCTTCTTAGTATAGTTAGTTCGTAGAACGACAACCGAACCGGTACGGTACGACTTAATACTACTATTCG